TCTACATTGCGTTTGCTCCCTCCAAACTCCTTCCTTTACCTTCATGTGCAATGTTTTACATACCGCTGCTATACTCTTAGACTTGCATGTGTAGGTTGATTGCTTGAATAGTGCTAAGTTGCTAAAATCTGCCGAGCCTGAAAATTGGAAAAATGCTAGATTTTTATTTGGTCAAGTAGTCTAATCACCCCCCCCCCCCTAGACATACTTTCGATCCTACACTATGCTGTGACACTCAAGTGCATGGGCATCCCTAAGTCTAAGCTGTCACTAGCAATATATAGTTCCACGGAAGTGCGTCGGGCAAGGTTGCTCGACCGATGGGTCAAATCTCCCTACAGGTCGTCTTCGGTAAGAATGATAACTTCCGGTTCGGGACGCCAAGCCTTTGAGGTTGTCAACTTTCAGAGTGGCTGCCAAGCCGTCCTAGGACTCCCGGCCTAAGTTCATGGCTCTGCCCTGGTACATCTACCTCAAAATCAAGATGTCAGGCCCTAGCAGGGCGGCCCTAAGCGCTCTAGCGAGTGCGACGATGCCAATGCGGCCATCGTCAGGACCCTGATCGCGACTGTGGAGCTAGCCGATATCTAGAAGGAGGTTGATGTCGAGCAAATGCCAGCCGACAAAAAGCCTATGTAGGCATCATCTACATCCATCCTACATGTCCTATATATGCCTTACTTATACTCCAATCTCTAAACCCTTAAGTCCTAACCTTACAACTGCTCGTTACCTTTCTAGCCTCACAAGCCTCACAGTAGAACCATCGCCTTCCTCATCTTTCTTCCTCTCCGCTCTTCTCCTTTTCCTTGTGCAACCTTTTTATCCTTCGCAAGCAAATTTTCCATTGCCTACTTACTCTCCCCATTTTGAGTAATAGGCTTCATGACGCCGCCATTATAAGGAAAAACTTACAAAAGAAAATGGTAAATTTGAACAAGACATTCGTGAGAGGAGCGATAGACGCCTTCATAAAATAAAGGGGGTGGCATCACACCTACCTTTTTTTCCTTCTAAAAGGAGGTTGAAACCATTGGCCTCCATATCACTGCGATGCACACAACTATTCTTATCAATTATTAATTAGAGTTAGAGCAAGTGCAATCATTGACCGAAAGCGACCACCAGCATGCATGACACCATGCAGGCCCTGCGAGGGTGAAAAGCCATCCGAAAGCATACCCGTTTCTCACATCTCTTCCCCCCTCTCTGTCCATCATCTCATCTCTTTTCTCCTGGCCTGACCAGGCCTTCTCTCTATCACGTCAATCTTCAGTGCGCACTGGAAGAATCCAATCTCAGAGATCGGCTGCAGCCTGCACCCCTCCTTTACGCATACCCACGGCACACAAAGAGATCTGCTCAAAAGATATCAAATTTAGTTCGCACCTGGTACAGAAATTTAGGCAGGGTTACATAAACAACTGCAGGGTAATAGTAGTGCTGGTGGTTCTACACATGGTCCCAGCCAAACCATCAGCTCTTTTTCTTTTCTTTGATGGGGAGCCAAGCCCATCAGCTATTCTAGTTAACTTGTGCAATCTCACGGACCAAGTTCAAGATCGCTTTTCCTATGTCCATAACATATCCAGATAATGGAACAGATTCCTCCAAACTAGAACGAAGCGAATCCAGAAAAAGGCTTGAAGTCATAACAACTTCTTTTCCAGATTCTTGCAAAACACTGGTTTCTTATTTGGAACGCATAACGACTTGCCGAATCTTGCATAAAACATCCATGGATTTATTTTATTTTTGTATGCATGCATGACTCTTTAAATGCGCCCACAAGATTCTGAGAGAGTAAGTGAATGCAAGACGCATAATCATGAAATACGCATTGGGTCTTAACTGTTTGGTATGAATTTTATGAAAAAAGGCCAGAGGAAAGCACTCCGTGAGAAGTTTGGGGGTCCTAATTCTTTTCGATCCTGATGGTCTCTGTAGCTAAATTTTCGAAGGATTTGTCTAGAAAAATTGGTGTGGATTAAAGCCTACAAAATTTATATGGAAAATCACACTATCAAGCGAGCCCCCTCTGGTAGTTCAGGTTCAGGGCTTGCGTGTGTATTTGTAATGGGGAATATACGTACGTACGTACAAGCCGTCGTACAGATATAGATTGAAGTTCGTAAAATCTTAAAATAATCTTACCATCCTGAAGACGTGCCGAAGCATGTGCTTCCCACCTCCATGATGCCGCCGAGGGCTCCCAGTCCCAGCCACATCTGCATGAATGAACCTGGAGAAACATACGTGGCCTCGTAGAAAAGGAGGCACGGTATCGAATAACATAACGAGGGGCATTAGCATGTGTGTCCCCTCATCTCGAGTTATCCCATATTCAATTCCACGCGATGTACACCGGCTCGCTCATGTGGCCGGAGGAAACCAAACCTGCCTGCCTGCATTATCAGAAAGATCGGGCAGGGCAGGTGAGCTGCATGATTGAGCCATGGGAAATGAAGAACCTAGGCTGCGTGGCTCCCTCCTCGTGGCCGGGTTTAAATATGCTAACACTTGGGCACAACTAGCAACCAACCAGTGCATGCACCGCATGTTGCAGATGGGTACCAGTTGGAGCTAAATTAAATCATGCGTTCTTTCATAGCCCAAGAGATGCTAAGCATAGAGTTAGGACTAGTTTAATCTAGGTAGTACATGTGTGCAGTGAAGTGGAGGATTATAGCATATATAAAACGATTTTGCAGTACATGTAGCTAGCCATCTTTACTGTTACTGGGTATCTTTATGCGCATACATGCATGCATGCACAGAGAAAACAGCATCAGAACAGTTTCTAGGGATTAGCAGGAAACAGGAGGAACTACTACTAACAAGGATCAGTGGATCTTACAGAGCAATGGGGAAGGAATTGGGGTCACAAAAATCTGATTCATCTCATCACGAGCTTGTTGGAAATTATAGGAGAGAGGGTCCGTGCGCAGGCCCAGTCTTGATCCCATTTCCAATCTAGTGTTGGAATATTTTGGCGTTTGGGAACTTGGAGCTCTCCAGCTGCATAGAGCAGCAGGCAGGAAGAGAAATACCATGGCCACGTGAGATTACAACCAAGTATAGGCACTGCATGCGAATAGCAATAAAATCATACAACAAGTGATCAACTTTGAAGAATATAAATAAGATAATGAGAGGTCTAATGTTAGGAATTAAGAATCTACTTTGAAGAATAAATAAGATAATGCGAGGTCTAATGTTAGGAATTAAGAAGCAACCGATGCAACGAGCGGGTCGATTAATAATGAGATCCGTTAAATCACCGTTATGATTTGATTCTGGACAGGACCCGCTGACACAGCGGACACCCCCTCTTGGTCCATCCGGTTTCTCCAAAGGCTGACAAACTGAATAACAATGTTAGTTGACATAATCACACACACTAATTAGTGAGCACACACCCACACACAATGAATCTAGCCATTCAAAACCATGTGAACGAATGCCTGTCTCTGAATGAGCAAGCAAAGCGACATTGATGGTTTTATCGCCAATAGTTTACTGAATCTGATGCAGATCTGCCCCTAAAGTTATAAGAAAACAGGCCATCTTCATGCTCTGCGCTCCAATCCTGCAACAGCAAGAGGTGCTTCCCATATGCGTAATGCATGATAAAGAAGCACTAATCTCCAAAGGACATCATCCAACACAAGGAGCAGAGTGGTGGCCAGTGGCTGTACCCCCACGCAAGCTGCCCACTGTGCCCTGAGCAGACCAGGGCAGGTAGTCCTACGGCAAAGGTTTGAATAGAAATAATGTATCTTACAGCCAGCCACAGCTCAAATAAATTCAATTCATTGTGTGAGTCCAACCAAAACCAGCTTGGTTTCTTTGCTTGCAGGTCTTGTCCTCTTAAGAGGTGGTCAGCCAGGCATGCCATTCAATGAGACAGGCCTGACAAACCCTTGATTGTGTTGAATCTGATATCAAGAAAATAGCTGGGGCTGTGTACTCCATAGTGAATGATAATAAGAGCATACAGCCCATACACCTCACATGTCATATCTCAAAAGACCCCTACTGCCCTCAACAAGTTATTGCCTACCAGCTACCCCAAGTGGACAGCAGGTATAAGAACTAGCGGTAGTACCAATCTATGATAGTTCCCTAGGAAACCTCCATGTCTACACATGTTACAAATGGGATGGACACCTCCATGTCTACACATGTTACAAATGGGATGGACTCTTATTGGAAATTACGTTTCTGAATAAACCAGCCACGACTTTCTTGCACCGTCCCAAGGCCAGATAGAAGAAATTGGGTGTCCAACATGAACACAGCACTGCAGCACCAGAAACCTGGACCTGTGTCTGTAGGAGGGTTAAAATGAGGAGTTAAGGACAGTGGTCATACTACATCACACTGCATAGGCCCCAACCACCCAGGCACATGGAAAGCAATGGTGAGGCCTACCCCACTGCACCCCCCTGGATGGCTGTGATTAGGCCACAATGGCCAGGCACCAACTTTTAAGTACCACCACCTGATCATTCCTCATCAGCTACACTGGAACCATATATTCTAACCTTAGCACCTTTGCAGCCCTTTCACTTTGATTCTTCTTGTCTACTACTTCCTACGTCCGAAAATACTTGTCATCAAAATGGATAAAAGGGGGTGTATCTAGAACTAAAATACATCTAGATACATCATCTTTTATCCATTTTGATGACAAGTATTTCCGGACGGAGGGAGTAGCTGGGTTAAAATACTGGTACTACCCACTTCAAGATCAAATGCACCAAGTCGGCCTTACCTATATATCAATACATTATATAGACACTAGCTAGACACCTCCAAGCTGTGTAAAGTTCTACTTGGGAGGCTATAAATGCCTAGCTATGACATATGCATGGTTCTCTACACAACACACACCACCATCCTATTCCTGCCTCTCCTTTTCTCTTCTCTTCTCTCCACTGCCCAAGTTTTGCCATAGACAAGAAAGAACCTCTAGGTAGCTTTCCTCCAGAGCAGCAATGGCCATGCACCATCTCTCCCAGGGGCACCCGCAGGCCTGGCCATGGGGGGTAGCCATGTACACCAACCTACACTACCACCACCAGTACGAGAGGGAGCACCTGTTCGAGAAAACCTTGACGCCCAGCGATGTAGGCAAGCTCAACAGGCTGGTGATCCCCAAGCAGCACGCGGAGAGGTACTTCCCCCTCAACGGCGGCGACTCCCCCGGCGACAAGGACCTGCTCCTGTCTTTCGAGGATGAGGCCAGCAAGCCGTGGCGGTTCCGGTACTCGTACTGGACGAGCAGCCAGAGCTACGTGCTCACCAAGGGCTGGAGCAGGTACGTCAAGGAGAAGCAGCTTGACGCCGGAGACATCGTGCACTTCGAGAGGGTGCGCGGCCTTGGCACAGGCGACCGTCTCTTCATCTGCTGCAGGCGCCGTGGCAAGAGCGCGCTGCCACCACCAGTCCGCGTATCTCCGCCTGCTCTGAACGCCGGGGAGCAGCAGCCTTGGAGCCCGATGTGCTATAGCACGTCAGGATCATACCCTACCAGCCCTGCCAACTCCCACGCCTATCGCCGCTCCGTGGAGCAAGATCACAGCGACATGCTGCATGCAGGTATACACAACCCTCAAGAACAAAGCACTTGATAGCATGCAACATAACTTAGATGCAGGTGCTGAAAATTACATATCTCTTACACCATTCTCCGGTGAATTCTTGCAGGTGACTCGCCGAGAGAGGCAAATGCCAAGAGCAGTACGGCATCGGGGCCGCCGTCGAGACGTCTCCGGCTGTTCGGAGTCAACCTCGACTGCGGTCCGGAGCCAGAGGCAGAGGCAGCAACGCCAATGTACGACTACACCCACCAGAGCCCCTACGCTGCAGTGGTCACGGTGCCAGCTTACTGGTCAGTACTGTAAACATCACCAAAAGTTCAATTGCATTCAGACACATCTGTAGATATTCAGTAGCACATATATATAACCGAATTTCTCAATTTAAAGTACAATATTTTTTGACAACAGGGCCAGTTCATAAGATGGTGAGGTCTGAAGCCATGCTCGAGTATCCTAACAACCAGCAGTGAAACTAGTTACTACTCCCACCAGACAGCCTACTAGGCTACTCTGGACCGAGTGACAGGCTTGAATTGACCCTTGGAAGGAAAAGGAAGAGGAAGTGGAAGATCCCTTGTTTCCCGGGCAATCTTCCTTCCATCCACAGAGTGCCCTTTTTTTCTATGTTTCTTTCTTCTGGTCTTCCAGAGACCCTACTCGATCGCATCGCAGTACGGGGCCCTTAGCAGGTGGCAGGTTTCAGGAAACATCAGGTTGAAAAGGAGAGGGAGTAAGAGAGATAGAAGGATGGTGACACACATGAAAAACAAAAGGACATGCTTAGCAAGCATGTGTGTATGTATGTGTCATCTGTATGTACTGGGTCCAAGAACAAACTATGAAGTTGATGTATCCTCTCCAGCCTCCTCAAGAAACAAAGTCATATCCCCCATGGGCCATGGGCATGGAGATTTTGTTCTCTCCCTTCTTGCCTCTTCCAGTACTAGTGTTCTACACCTCACGCAATCAATTGGTTTAATGTTTTCAAGTCAAACAATGCATTCACCTTACCTTCTCAAAAAATTCAATGCATTTACCTTACCTTCTGAAAAAAAAATCAATGCATTCATACACCTAAGATAAACAATCAGCGAGTGTACGTGCGATGCAATGCAGTTCTCAGAGTCTCTAAACAATAGGAAGTGTAACGTTATGGCCAAGATTGACAGATGCCAAAGGATCGTTAAAGAAGTGATGTGCCATAGGTGATGCCGACACCCGGGGATGTCCATGTCCCGATCTTTTACTATTCTATTAATAGCCGGTATCAACCTTTTTGATCCCTCGGGAAGGAAAGGCCCGGCAGAAGTTTGAGGTGTGCAAGTGGTCTCAATCTGCCCTAATAGGATGCAAAGGAAAAGGATGGCTAAGATGATGGCCTGAGAGGCAAGTTCCAGACACAAAAGGCCACTAGGCTCCAATAATCAACAAGATTCCCGGCAACACGTATCAAAAGGAAAATCGGAGATCTGTCTCCTGCTTTTGTTGCCTATGTTAGAAAGGCCTGTACGTACGAGGCAAACTAGAGATTATTGTTCCGGCCGGCCCTGCCAATTATTGAAAGTAGAAGATGCCTGGAGAAACATGGCCTAACTCAACAGACATGGCGCTATCAGCTCTTAGTTAGGGTCAAACAGTAGCTAGCTGTAAAACAATATTTGGACTCGTGTCCAGCTGTGGAACACACCAAAGCTAAAAAAAAAAAAAGATAGCTAAGTAAATAAACCCTGTGTTACCATGCTCACCTAATTTGGTGCAAGAGCACATCTTAGTATGCAGACTGCCCAACTGCAAGTAGGCTGAGAGATACACATGTCTATAATTGCAAAATGCAGTACGGATTAGAGTATTGAGCACGGTGCTGAAATACTGACCTGGTTCAGTGAAAAAAATTAGTGAGATGCAGGCATCAGATTCATCTGAATGGAACTCGCAGCAATTTTGGCAGTGATGATTGCACCTATAGGTTAACGACCGTATCAAGCACCAAAATTTCCTGTCTGCTAGCAAGAGCAGGAGCCATGTTCTAATACAAAATGACATGCACTTTGGTGTGTGTTCGAGAAAAAAGAACAGGAGCCATGTGCAGCGGGGCTTTCTCTAATGGCAATGAACCTTATCCGGGGCACTCCAGGGCTGCATGATTAACGCCTTTGAACACCAAATAGCTTATCTTAACATTAGTACAAAAGGGCCATGTGATTGCCATAATGGTAAAGTGGACCCTTACTTTGTCTACTTCACGCATACCAAGAAAAAGAGATTCCCTTAATTGAATTGAAAAGAACGAAATTATCAAAGGAAGTACTCCCTCTATAAACAAATGTAAGACGTTTTTGCAGTTTAAATTTGTGTAGAGGGAATAGTAACTAATTAGTACTACGAACTAATCACATTACCCATGTAAAATTGTACAGATAAAGGCCTGTTTGGAAAAATACCACCATTCAAAAAACAACGATGCCCACAGAAAAATATATCACCATCCCAAACAGGTCCTAAAGCTGAAGTTTCATTTCGATTTAGGAGGGTTTGGCCTGTTTGGTTTGTGCCCAACATAGCACCAAAACCAAGTCAAATAGTAGTGGTGCCCAAATCTATGTGCACAAATTGGCTGTCCAGTTTAGTTCAAAACATAAATCAAACAGACTAAAGAACATATTCTTACCAAAATTATAGCACCGAATTAAGCATGGGCAATTCTAATCAAAGTTATTCCCTCCATTCACAAATATAACATGTTTTGGATATTTTAATATGGAGTACATATGGATTGAAATGGGTGAACAAACACACTAAAATGTGTCTATATACATCCGATCCAGAAAAAAGTAAAAACATCTTATATTTGTGAAGGGAAGGAGTGTTTTGGTAAGAACGATGGCTCCCTATAGCCTGAGACAAAACAGCCATAACCAAGAATATATACACATAAATATAAGGATATAAGTATTATGTTCACAACAAAGTACAATAGCACATTAACTGACATATAAAGGAAAAGTTGCTGAGATCATACATTTGGTGGGTCATTTGGAATAATAATTTATTTCCATACCTAGGCAAAATATATATCTTCCAGAAATCATAGAAAATAATATCACAGCAACTAATATTCCTATTCACGATTACATAAATAAAAAATGGATCACACTAATATCACAGCCATGATAAGATATTTACTCTGTGCTAGAACCTACATATCACATATTTTTACTAATATTACTGCAAGCATATAAAAAAAATGATATGCAGACAACGCCGTCAGGCTACACCATATGTGCAAACAACATATCCAGGCAACAAAATAGAACCTATAGCAGGAAAGTGATTATGGCTTCAGCAGCAAACCAAGATCTATACGTGAATTGAGTGCTTAAGGTAAATCCCTAGTTGAGCTACCACCCAAAGGGGTTAGTGCAGTCTCCTGCAATTCCAACAAAGACGACTCTAGCCGACCTAGAAAGTTTAAGGTATGTCCGTTGAATCGCAAAGCGGTCCTGCTCCAGAGAGTAATCCTAATTTTACAATAGTTCCAATCACAAAAGGAAGGGAAAATAACTACAAAGGCCCCAAAGGATAGAACAGAGTGAAGGCAATTTAAAATAGACAAATAAAAAAATACCTAGTGTCAGTGAGTAGTATATGTATATTAAGGAAGAAACATATCTCCCACTTTGAAATTGGCAACATTAGAGTTGCCAGGGCTTACAAATCATGTCTAATTATGTAGCAGTAATTGTTCAAAATGAAGCATGCATGGGACTAAAATAATGCTTTTGCCATTACCTGAAGAAGGGTTACTTTGTTTTTGCAAGAACAGGCTCACACCACACTTTCATGGGAACTACAATCAGTGTCATTTTCATGAGGCTATTATGTCCGGGAAAACAGAGTTTATGTGTTCATTTGAAATTGGCCATTATAATCAGTGTCAATTTCATGGGCTATTATCTCTGGTAAAACAGACTCCCAAATACCAATGACTCCTGTTTGGCGGACAAAGGCCGCTGTCTCCTGAACTGCTCGATTTGCTCTCTTTTGGCTAACACAAACTTGCAGCCAGTTAATGTTTCAGCCTCTCTCTGAATTTCACTGAATATGGCACCCAATCTAGAAATGCAATGCTCATTGCCTGCTAAGGCCTGAATAACAGAGGTAAAATCGCTGTCGCTGACCATGATAACAGGTAGTCGCGACCAGACCGCATAAAGACGAATCCCTTCCAGGCATGCTCTCGCATCCATGCATACATAAACGAAGATATACGGCACACCTTTTCAGCTTCCTCTGGAGTCATATTTCTGTCCAACAATGGAGAACATGCAATACAGTTAAACAAAGATTTATGTCCAGTTTTCAGCAAATACCTACAACTGAAAGAACTAAGAATATTCTACTGTTACATTCTCTACTTTAAAACCAAACAAAACAGGATCTTATCGTTTCAATACACAAATAAATAATGCAAATCCTGTCTTGCTTCGGACAATTTTATTTCAGAGAACCTGTGCAGTCCTCAAATGCAGATACAAAAGCATTAGCTCGCAATCTCTAAGTTCAGATAAATAAGCACGTCCTTTTCAAGTAGAGCAGAGCAGCAAGGCTTCTAGATCCAAGACCCAAGCACATATGTGAGTATATCTTTCTATGCACTAGTCTGCAAAAGTACGGGAAGTATCAGACAACACAGGTTTTTCTTAGTGCTGCATACAAGAAACCTCAGGTTATTTGGTAACAAAATGGAAACCAGTGTGTTGTCGTTATTTGTAAAATATCAATTGCTTTTCTCCTTGTCATGCTGGCACAAAGCCTAGAATGGCAGATTACTATAACTTGTGAATCAAAAGGTCACCAAAAAAAAACTCATAAGCATAATTGTCCTAACATATGAGCAAAGCTCCAGGGAAACTTAGTTCTCAATATAAAGCTATAACAGAACATTTGCTATGGTGAATTGAAACAAATATGAATGATTGGGTTTGAAGCCTGCAAGGATAGGTTTTACTCAATTTCTTAAAGCCACGAATGCTAGTACAAATTATGTTCAAATGGAATATATTTAAATACAGTATAGGGAATGAACTGTTCTAGAAATTGAATATGTCAGCAGTAGTGCATAGGGGAATGAGACCGAGATGCGCCACTTTCCAGGGCTCATCACTGTTGGAGTGGAAAGAATGACAAGAAAGATTTGATCATAAGGAGTTGGAACCACAATGTGCATCAGCTGGTACAATTCTCAGTAATTACACTGGTAGTACCAAGTAAGTAGCATAGCAGACTTCTTCACGCACTGAATTCAGCAAGTGAGCTGAGAAGAAATCCACTTCCCATGTCTATTTCTGTAAGAACAAATCTTGCATCGACTTCCTATGTATATCTTTGTTGAACCACAGAAAATTATGTGGCTTGTCATCCACAAGATACAGCTTTCTTGGTGACAGTCTATTCAGTTAACCAAGGATTTGCATCTGCTTCCATTTCTTATGCGCATATCAGACGATAGTGTTGATACTAGATTCAATGGAGCCAGCAGCATGGCATTATTGACTTGAATGGCAAAGCTACCAAGATCAGTCCTGACATAGATCATTAGTGTTGTAGTGCCACTACTGACAGGCAATAATTTGCTACATGAATAGAGTGCCACTGGTAGTTGACTACCATCTTCCAATTCAGCCCTACATCACCAAAAGTCCCCACAAGAACATGAGCCATCCTTAAAATGGTGAAATCTATTGACATCTCTGACAATGAATAGACGTTCAGTAATATGGGCTGCAACCTTCATGAATGAATGACAGTCCCCGCATATCCTAAGGTTCTTGTGTATTATAATTGGTATATTAGGAGGCAAGCTGATTAACCCAAAAGCAAGTGCTAACTTCTCACTATGGTGTTTAAGCAGCTCCTCTTTTTGGTCGTCATGAACATCATGCAGATCGCATTCTATTTTGGTCATGTGAGCAAATTTTCTCATATCGTGATAAATTTCCTCCAACTTATTGTAGATATCAGTGATTGCTGGGTGCTTTCTCTCTCCAACAACAAAGACATGGATTTTGCCCTTTGCTTCAATCCAACTCCTGCCAATTTCTTTCTTTGCACCACTATCCTTCAAATATTTCCTTGCCATTAGAACATTCTCCCAGTTCCCACTGGCAGCATATACATTTGAGAGCAAAACATGGTTCCCTCCATTGTCAGGCTCAAGTTGGAAAAGCTGTTCCGCAGCTATTCTGGCTAACCCACTATTGTTGTGGTTCCTGCATGACCCTAGCAAAGATCCCCACATAGAAGCAGTTGGTTCAAATGGCATTTTGTGAATCAATTCCCAGGCCTCATCAGTCTTCCCAGATCGACCCAGAACATCAACCATGCAAGAATAGTGAAGGACATTAGGTTCAACAGTCTGATCAGACATTAGCAGGTTAAAGTAGTGGCGACCCTCTTCAACTAAACCTGCATGACTGCACACTGACAACATGGAGAGATAGGTAACTTCGTTCGGAAAAATACCTAACTGGTGCATTTTCTCAAAGAGAATCATAGCTTCCCAAGAATGGGCATGCCTCGAAAAACCAGCAATCATTGCATTCCATATGACAACATTCTTCTGTTCCATATAAGCAAATAGTGCGTAAGATTTTTCAATCTGGCCACACCTTGCATACACATCCACAAGAGATGCTGCCACAAAGAAGTTCCCATGAAAACCACATTTCACAATAACTGCATGCAGTTGTGTCCCTTCAATTTTCAATGCTAAGCTTGCACATGCGCTAATGATAGCAGAGAGAGTGAATTCACTCAATTTTACTCCTTCCCTTTGCGCATTCCGAAATAAACATAATGCTTCTTCGTGAAGGCCATTCTGCACATATCCTGCAAACAATGAACTCCATGTAACTAAAGTTTTATCAGGCATCTTCTCGAAAACCCAGCAGGCATCCTTAATCATGTTACATTTTGCATAAACATCTAGAATCGCTGTCCCAACAAAGCTGTTTACGTCCAATGCAAGCTTGATTGCAATGGCGTGTAATTGCTTGCAATCATTGATAGCATATTTTGCAGCACATGCACAGATTGTGCTGGATAAAGTAAATTTAGTCAGCTGCCTCCCTTCTCGGTGCATCCTTTGAAAAAGCTTCAAAGCTTGTACATCCTCTCCACTCTGAGTATATCCAGCAATCATGGTATTCCATGAGACTATGCTTCTGGCAAGCATTGCATCAAAAACATGACGAGCGCAATCATTCCGACCACATTTTGTGTACAAGTTGATTAGAATATTGCATGTGACAGTATCTGTTACCAGACCAAAATGAATGGCTAGCCCATGGCAGCTTTTCCCAACCAGGAGGGACCTCCTCTTTGCACATAGTTGCAGAAGCTCATGGAGCACAAACATGTCAATCAAACTCCTGTCAATCTTACCACGACGTTTATCCTTTAGGGAATTGTTCAGACCATACCACACTCACACTTCATGTTCTGATTTATGGCAGGGTAGTTAAACGGAATGCCCATCCATGGAAGACAGCTACTAATGCATGCAGAATATGACTGAAAGGGAGAACTTCGCCAACCAAATTTGCACTGCTTTCTGATGACTCGCAGCAAGGGACAGCTAGTCTGAAATATGTTTAGATGCCGTCAAAAGCACATAACTTTTCTGCAGGATGGCATGAAACTTCTCTCATTAGTCCACCTTTACAAATTCTTGATATTAGAATCTCTGGAAGAAAAGCAAGTCAGTCACAACTATATGATCCTCATCACACTTTGATGCATCTTCAGAAAGCAGATACGATCCTGTAAATAAAATCTAGACAGGTAAAAGAACATAAATTTTTATGGCAGGGGCATAAGGAAATGTGATGGGTTCTGCTAAAAGCACATGCTAATACGTCTAAAAAGAAATATTTGGTTCAAATGACAAGAAGAACCAGGAACTAGCACCAAGTGAGCTTCTTGCTTTTCAACCATTCGAATGTGGGTGGGAGGTGGTACAGTACTGGTCCTAGGAAGTGAGCGATGGTACTTTGCTGGTAGTACAAGTTGAGAGCTAACTTAAATCCAGGGTTCCTTTCAAATTTTCAGCATCAGGGCTGTGTTCCATTTGGAATAAGGATGTACCAGCAAGATATATATTTCTACTTAACACATCACAAGCACAGGACATAGGCAAACAGAAAAACATTTTACTACTAATCGAGCAATCACACCTTATTGTGAACAACCCTACTTTAATAATCATAACAAAAATTTACATCTAATATCAGGATACCATTGATGCACTACACCCCTCCCACCAGCATGACCCTAAGCAGCAACTCAGTAGAAATCCTTATTGCGCGTGACCTATAGCATAGGACAGTGAGCATTACAGCGAAGGCACTACACAGATATGCCACATTGCCACTAGTGCAGCATCAGCATCAGTGGCAGATCTAGGATTTGAAAACAGGCTGGTCCACCTTAAAAACAATTGACAACAAATATGACATGGCACATTCTAACTAATTTACCAATACCACATAGAAATAGATCAATATGGTCTTACAAACATACTAAAATTCACAGTTAAGTCTCAGTTTTGCGTAAGCCTGCATACTGCATACCTTGAGAAATTCAACAAATATGTAAATGTGTTCATGTACTGTACTGGATAGCAATTAGCAGACAACTGAAGCATGCTTAATTGCTTATTATGTTGCTTCTCCTGCTTATTATTCATTTATTTGTACAAGCTGGGAAGATTCATCATTTGTGCACTAGATAGCTCTCTAGCAAACAACGAACATGTACTGTACTGGATGGAAATTTGCACTGGATAGCTCTCAATATTACCTTCGGCTATGTACAGCTTCTCAGCCCCTAGCTGCTAGCCTTCTATGCTGCACGTCTCCAGGCCCCTGGGCCAGGGTGCACGCCTGCACACCGCCGGCCGCCGAGGAGACTGCTGCAGCTGGCCGCTGGCCGCTGGCGGGTGGCGACTGGGCGCGGTGGCCGGCACCGGCGCGGAAGCAGAGGGCGCAGGCGCGCAGCCACTGGAAGGAAGGGCGGCTAGAGTTGGCAGCCTGCCGGGGAAGGGCGCGGCGGCCGGCGGTAGGCAGGAGGCGGCTGGCGGCTGGCGGCTGGTGCGGTTTGGAGTCGGTCGGGGATGGGACCAATGTGGGGCTGCAGGGAACCCCTGGGCCCTGGCGAACCCCTCGCGCGAGCGACACTGGGCCGGCCCATTAGGATCGTACCTTTGAGTGCGCTCTCACCGAAATTAAGGAGTACTAGTACAATGCCCGTGGGTTGCCACGGGCCTTTTAATTTTTTTTATTGCATACATAAGCATAATGCACCTTCAATTTCATATGTATAGAAAGAAATTTACACTAACAATCGAACCTGAGAAACGGTTAGAGTTTGGAAAGGTACCTAGAGGGAGGAGGCCCGAGAGTCCTGGAGGTCATCAACATGCGGGTATTATGCGATCGTGGAATTGCCGGTACCGCGGCAACGAGCGACCTTTCCCCATCACAGATCCGTCATCGCCACCGCTGGCCTCCTCCGACTGATTGCGCTGCCAACGTCGCATCAGGTCGTGATACTGAGGAAAATGGGAGATGGTGGTCGGGTGTGGGTATGGGTCTTGGGATACAAAGCAGCCCTCCCAACTGTTATTGTGGTTTTGTGCTTCAAAAATCAATTCATAATGTCCGTGCGTTGCCACGGGCACTTTAAAAATCTTCCCGGTTCATCATGATCATGTTTTACTAAAAAAAGATGATATTCCTCGTTGCAAGTAATGTCGCTAAATTTCTCGATCCATTAAACCATGGGTAAGTGCAAAAGTAAATGAATATGAGTTGAGTGAAATAAGGAAGGATTAAATGAATGAACAAAGGAAATGATAAAATGGATGAACAAACCAACCGTACACACGTTTTTATCAGTTCTTCTCCATCAGAAAATGGAACCCAATTGTTGTTGCAGCATTGCATTGCTCCACGGAATCCATCAGCCTCCTCGCTAGCGCTAAGGAACCCCATTTTGGCCATTTCTTCCGCCGCCGGCCTCAACATCGCCCCTGGCATGTCTCAGCTAACTCTGCCACGATGTCATGTCCTCCATGTTTCACTTCATTCTACATTACTCCCCGTGTAACATAAGTACTATTCAAACATGCATACCAGTCGTTGGATCGAGCACATCCAAATGGTTGCGATCCACCCTTTTCCACCCTTGCCTCCTATCGCGAGACGTCTCCTGCACTGCGTTAACAACACTCCTCTCATGCACGTGCCCAGTGTGGGTCGTGGCCCCTCATGAGCCACCCTCACCGGCCACCGACCTCGCCGCAGGTCGCACCTTGCCACCCTCATCATCGTCGCAACTCTTCTCTCTTCCTTCTTCCAGTTGCGTCATGTTGGCCATTTCAGATATGAAATATGCCGATGAAGTCGTTGCAGCACGCATAGGAGAAACGCCCCCTCCCACCGCCACCATAGAATCGCCGACAATGATTGTAGCTCCGTTCCATTGTCGCAACACCGTCGGTAGTGGTGGCAGCTCCTACGCCCATGGTCGCGGCGTGGATGCATCAAAATCCTTTGCCAGTTCGAGCATCCAGAAAACATCTACGGTGGAAACTTCATCGACGAAGGTTCCAACATTCCGCAGCCTGGTTGCAACTCAGGTAGTAGTCGGTTCTAGCAAAATCGTTTGTTGGTTCCAGCATCCGCATCACTCTTCGCAACATTGCCCAGTCATGGTCACCATCGGGCCTCTCGTCTGCAAGGGTCGTAGCAGCCACCAAACACGGTTCCAGCATGATAATTTTCCTGATGAAGTTACATGATAATTTATAAATCATCACTTGATTTTGGAGCGGTCTTCTTCTTCTTTTTCTTTCTTCATTGCTCATGTTGAACCCTCCTCAGACCCACCCAAACCACATGTCGCTGCCCGCCCTAGCCGACAACTCTGTCG